ATGTTTCATCTACTCCGATTATGCTACTTGGCGGTTCTTCTTTGTAGCTATGAATTTCGTTTGGTATTGTTATGTCTTCTCTTTGTTTGTTTCGTCTTGTAAACTTCCGTTGTTCATAATCCGTATACGTCTGGCAAAGATTCTTGTCTATGATCTGTTTCTTCTGCATTTGATGTTTGTTTTTGCCACGATTTGTCCGAAGAGGAAACAATCTGTGCTCTGTTCTTCATTGTTCTCCCTTCTTGCTAAGCTCTTTGACGCTGATTCACTTTTGTTGTTTCTTTTTTCTTTCTGTGTTTCAAAATTTGATCGCTTCCTTGCTTGATTTCCTTTATCTGCTGTGTGTATTTGTTTTATTGTAATGGCTAATAAGGAAAATGTAAAATAGACGATTAGGAGAAACGAACAAGAATATGAATGACTATATTGCATCAAATGAAGCATCCTGATTCCTGGACTTAATTTTATGTTTGTCTACTGATTTTTCCACATCATCTATGAATGACCATGGAAAGTTTGCACGATGTTCCAAAGTGAAATTGCCTGGTGCATAAGTGAAGAATAAGATTGCGACTCTTGTTTTCATGCTCTCTATTTCGTATAATAGCTAACATTCTCTGCAATTATAGTTCATGTAAAACTGTAGTTTGGTTTATAGGTTTTGCATTTACAATTTCATCTAGCTCTGCCAAAGTTTTATCCAAATTGAAGTAAGAACAACATTTTAAGATGCTCATAGAAGTCCGGTGGCTGTAAATATGCAGGTAGGAAAGCAGGCTGCTATGATAGCTAACACAAATGGCCAGATCTTAGGTGCGTGGCTTCTTGCTGTAGCTTTATTTTGCACATGCCATAGAGAAATTCATAGGTTGCAGAAAAGAAATTATATTATTGTTCAGTTCTCATCACACGGACACACTTAGCACTGGAAGAAAACCGAGTCCATGCTACATGCGCAAGTATACACTAGATGCCGTTTTTCCAACTGATGAAAATGTGGTAGGAACTGAATAGTGATGATGATATTAAACTGAAAATTTAATAACAAATAGGAGAAGAAAAAAAAATGGAACTCTAATAAATTATGATGCCAATAATCCTTTCTGATTCTAGAAAGACAATCACTTATTTCAGAAAGAGAGAAAAACCAACAATGAATAACGAACCATCACTTCTTCTTCCCTGCTTTCCCCTCCTTTCTTCTGACAACTTCATCAGCATATTTCACTCCTTTACCCTTATACGGTTCTGGAGGTCTCCATTGTCTAATAGAGGCAGCAAACTGACCAATGGCACATTTATCATAACCACTGACGGTAATTCTGGTGTTTTCTTCCACCATTACTTGAAGCCCGTCAGGAATGGCCATTCTAACTGGATGAGAGAACCCAAGATTTAATACCAAGTCTTTTCCTTCTAAAATCGCTCGATAACCAACACCTACCAATTGAAGTTTCTTCTCAAACCCCTTGGATACTCCTATCACCATATTGTCTGTAAGGGTCCTGAAGAAATCAGTTGAAATGGTCATACGACAGCTGCATTTTCTCAGAATACATCATTTATTACTCTTTTTCCATCAGACATCATTCATCTGTATTACAAATGAAGGAACAATGGCTGGTTGTTTGCATTCATAACATGAAGTGGTTTTGGGTTTTCAGAATTTTAAGATATTTTAGTTGGTTTCTTTCTCGCCGTCCACAAATAATCATTAATAAGGAGAGAATATCTAGAGTAGGCCACTCCGTTAGTATTCTCATCCATAAAAGCATTTTTCAGATCATAATTGATGAAAAAGATGACCAACTTGATTAGCGAGGCAAGTAGGCATCTTCATAGGAGGCAACCAAATTTTGGAGAAGATACATTTAGGAAGTGACCCATGTAAACTAAAACTTAAGAGGAAGAAAAACAAAAGCTAAATGTTTCAGAAGATTAAACTTAATCGGTTACTGTGAAAATATTGTAAATTAAATTAGGTGGAGGTTACCTGAAAAGCCCATGCATTTGGTTGGCTCTCCTAGTCTCCAGTGCCTTCTTAACCCTTAAGATCCCTGAATCATCCCTCTCAATCTTCACTTCTCGTGGATAAAGTAGTGAAAGCTCTCCCAAAGGACCTTTAACTTTCAAATCCTGACCCTGTAATGTGATGGTTACATTGGATGGCACTTGAATTGGTTGCTTCCCTATTCGTGATTCCTTGCATTCTATAGTCTTCCTCAAGCGAACAATATGGGATACAGGCATTGTAGAAGCAGAGAATCCATTTTTCTCTCCCAAAAAAGTAGACCGAAAATTGCTGAGCCACAATAAGGAAAATGGTTTCAAATTTAAGAACGTTTCCTTCTTACAAAAAAGAGCTTAATGATTAAATAAAAGACAACCACGACTAACATTGAACAAACTCTATGCTTAACACACTCTCTAAGCCAACTATAAGGAGCCCAGTCTATAGCAGAAAAGAAAGGTAATGTGTAGACGTCCATTGTTAGTGATGGCTGAAGGGTTCAAAACACACAAAAGTCAATCAAAGGACAGTGTAATAGTTTAGCACTAAAAAACATATTCAAACAGCAGAGAATCGAAATGTCCACATTGGTGGTGGTCTGGCAGATGACTTGTTTTGTACCATACAACCACAGTGTAAGGACAGCATACAAACACAACTAGACTTGAGGAACATGGAAGGACACTTCCTCTAAATTCTATCCGCGTAATTTACTCACCTCAATGACTTAATGACCAGTAGAAAATTTCACGTTTTTAGGAGAGCGTCTCTCTAAGAAAACACGACAAAGAAATTAAAGATACTATCTAATTCATAATTAAACCCAAATGGAAGACATAACTTCAATCAGCTGATAAGTTTCAAGAAATTTTCCAATTGACTTGAAGTCTTGAATATGAAAATAGAAATAATTTCAAAAAATTCCTAGAATTAGAAAATCATCTAGATACATTGAGGATGGTTATCCAAAAAAGTTCCCTAAGGTTTAGGAAAGATATCCTCAAAGTACGACAACTTCTAAGCAACCAAATAGCGAAAACTGTAGCTACAATAATCTCCAGAACGGCTGACTCATATCAAGAAAATTTAGCTCTGTGTATCAGAGTTGGAGGCTTGGCAAGATAAAAGAAGATAACGATGACCGGAAACCCCCAAATTCACATCCCAAGGAAATGTGCACTAAGACAAACAAGTTGAACGCAAAATGAAAAACCTTTGCTGACCATTATGGTCTATTCGAGACTTCACACACCACAAATGCAACATGTAAGAGTAGAACGTCTCCACGGTTAGAAAGGGAACCCAATTAAGACGAACTTCGGAGCTTGTTCAGAAAATATTGTAATTATAAAATCTGAAGTCTACCATTGGTCACTAATATGTTTGAACCCAGAAAGATAATCATTAGAGCAAAATTAAGAGTTGTACCTGGTTTGAAAAGGGATGGATAGCGTGGAAGCCATAGCCTATTACAGTGAACACCCAGTTTGACAGAACCAGTTATATGGTCTGCTGTGAGAGGAGGCTATCCAAACCTAAAATGACAAAAACAACCTTTCTGGCTAATAAAAACCTCGATACTATCCCTGTTTCGTGTTGGTTTTTTTTATCACCCACGAAATTTTTTCGTCCATCATTATTTTTTGTACGACTTATCATCCCCAACTTACCAGACGCTTTATCTTAATGTAATTTTGGTTAATTTTTCAGTTTCTAAATATTTATATTTGTTTTTATCTTTAATATATTAAATTGTTTGTATTTCTTTGAATATTCTTTAATTTTGAATTTATAAAATAAACATTTTTTTTAATCTTTATGAGAGGAAACATTTAATCTATAAATTTCCTTCGTAATTTTAAATTTGTAAATTTTGATTTTTAATTTAACCTTTTTATTTTAAAATTTATCACAATCTAATAGCTACATGCAAAATTCTATCAAAATCAAATGTCACTTATTATTATGTTAAAATAATTTTTAAAAAAAAAATCCTAAATTTTATAATTTATCTAAAAATATTCTTAAAGTTTTTAAAAAGTCTAAAAAAAATACATTTACTTAGTATTTAACTTTACAAAATTTTATTAATAGCCTTAATTTTTTTTAAAAAGTTCAAAAATAATTTTACCGTTAGTACGAAATACTCATAAAATTTTAAAAATAGCATTAACAAAAAAAAAAAAAAGTTCAAATTTTTTTTTACTATCGGTACTTGGTAAATTATCTTTAAACTTTTTTATGTTACTTTTGAAAATACTTGATTCAAGTATTTTTGAAATATGGCACTAATAGTAAAAGTATTTTTAAATTTTTTTAAAAAAATTAAGAGTATTAATGAATTTTTTTAAAATTTAAATGTAAATCCAAATCAGTCAGATCTTTACTCGAGTATAGGTATTTTTTAAATCCTTTTGAAAGTTTGAAATATTTTCTTAAATAAAGTATCAAATTATTATCATCCAAAACTAATAGTTTTTTAATATTTTTTTAAAAGTTTAAGGGTATTATTGAAATTTTTAAAAGTTTCGGAGTATTTTTAAAACAAATTGTAAATTTCAGTTCATAAATATATTTGGTTATTTAGAAGTTTATCAATCTACCTACATTAGAAATTCTTTTAAATCTTAACAATATTTTTCACTAGGTTAAATTGTTGTATATGATAAATGGTTAGATACTAAAATTAATGAAGTATATTATAACTAAATTATTACTTTTTTCCAGTGTTTTTAACCTTAACTTTGTATAGGCTTATTTAGGTCACTTTCATAAAATTTCCATGAGATGGAAGGCCTTCATCTTCATATTTGTTAAAATGAGTACACGTTGAAACTTCAGAAGAAAAAGTTGGTAGAATTATTATAACATCTGCTGATTGCGTGTTGACTATGCTACAATTTAAGTGAGATAATCGAAGTGATTTAATATGGACATGCCCCCTGAAGTCCACTTAAGAATTATGGAGACACAAATAGCAAACAAAAGTTTATCCTGAATTCATACTCGAGGTCCCCAGCTGTACCTCTAAATCAGCCTTCTCCTTTGTCCCTCCGGAATGTCTCTGGAGTTGCTCCCCACTTTGAGCACCACGTAAATGTGCTGCTCGAAAGAAGTTTTTGATGGCTTCATCCTTCTCGTCAATAAACCGCATAAAACTTTGAATGGTCTGAGTACAGCCAGTATTGGACGGAATGGGGGTCGGTGTAACCACCTCTGAACGACGGTGTTGTCGTTGATAACGGATATACTGACCAATTATTCTTAGAAGAAACATGAAAAGTGCAGCAGAGGAAATGATTCCACAAAGTAAATACAAACCCCAGAAACTGATTAGGTGAAGTTGGTCTGGCTGCGCTTCTCCTCCCCGCTGCCCGGGACAACCCAGCTTACAGAACCAGGTGTCGTGTATCTCTTGAAGCTTTCCATTCTCAGAGAGTCTTAAAATTGCAGTTGACATATCGACTGCGAGTCGAGATCTTCGCTGAAAAGCCTGTACTCATATAACGAAAGTTTAAGAATCTATTAGATATTTTTTAAAGCTTAAAGATTAAATAGATTAGAGTCATGGCCTCTTCTTCTTATGCGGATGCATATAACAATTTATGTTGAGGATGATGGTTGGGGGAGTCCCACCTAAATGATTATGGGTTTATAAATAAGAACTCCCTTTCCATTGGCATGAGGTTTTTTTGGAGAAATTCAAAACAAAGTTACGAGAACTTATGCTTAAAGTGGATAACATCAAACTATCACGGAGAGTCGAGATTCTTACCAAATTATGCATATAACAAATAAAGCATTATTAGGTAAATAAAAGATAGATAGAGACTCACAAATCCCCATCCGCTTCTGGTAAAAGTTTGTCCAATCATTCCAAATTCTTTGGTCTTAGACAGAAATAACTCCAAATATGGCAGTTCATCAATGATAGCTGCCACACCGCCTCCTTTTGGACCAAGCCGCAGTGCTTTCTCGTAATCATCAGGGTTGTAAAGCTTCACTAGTCTGGAGCGTGGTATGAAAAGGCTCTGTGTCAAATAGTCATAAGCAAAGGATCCTACCTGATATCCTATTGGCAAGTTACTTGCAACCAAGTCATCAATTCCCCGTATTGGCGACCAAAGTTTCTGAATTGTGAGTATTGATGTCAAACTTGCAGTGTAGCTTGACGTTATTACCAACAATAAGAACAGCCATACCAACATCACCATTCGTGAAAGTGGGCTAATGGTTGCTTCTTCTGTTTATTCAATGATAAGAACAATAAGATAATCAAGAACAATATGGATCATTGTTCTTCTCTTTCTTTGACAAAACATTTAAACAACCATTATGTTTTGAATCTTACCAAAAAGGAAGAAATAGGAGCTCTAAAATGTAAAGGACTTACGATTAGCCTTGAACAGAGTTGAAAAGCTGAACCTGCAACACACACAACAATAGCTTCGTATGAGTTATGACCCTCAAATTGTGCTTAAAAAAAGAAAATACAAAAATTGGTCAAAGGAGCAATGTGAGGGACGCCATAAGAGCCTTACAGACACATAGTGATAATCTGCCTCTTTGGAGGACCTCGAAAATGGTCGTTGATTCGGTGCTCAAGCATCCAAATAACAATCCCAATAATCACAAAAGAAAATCCTGTTACACACCACATCTCTGCTGTAAATGGTTTAAGAAACACCCAAGCACTTGATTTTGAATCTTTAACTGGGGCAACTATGATAAGCCCGGTAGTGATATAGGGTTGAGAAAAATCAACAACCTTTGTACGGTTGGTAACAATAGCAATGTCTCCAATAGCTGCATCAAACACCTAGAACCCAAATTTTTTTAGAATAAGCAAGCCATTTCAATGGAATTCAGACAAGTTCAAATGAAGAACACTCTACTCACATTATCTGCAACCGATTGAACGAGTTCATCGTAACTAGGATTGACTTGACCATCCCCAAACGGCACAAATTTGTAAGGAACTTCATATGGAATAAGCTTGAGAGCTGCTTTGAAAATATCAATAACGTATCCTTGAACCACATTGGTGTTGTTCACTTGAGTAACAAACTCAACAAAGCTTTCTCTTCTTGGATATGCAATTCTTAGGGGCTTTCCAGCGTCTGCTATCACCCAACCGTTTGGTATTTTTGAGTTTCCACCAGGCCAAACTACAATGTCGAGTTTCTGGTCTAAGGGGGAATCTTTTTGTTTCAATGTCAAGGCTTCTGGTGGTGAAATCGAGAATCCTGAGTAGTTAAACCAATAACCCACCGTACGAATTTCCTTTTGGTCAATATTAATCACATCATAGCTACCATTGATGATATTTCTGTCTTCACCAAACTGAATTCGCCCACTTAAACCACTGTAATTTGTTTGCATAATAATCCTAAGAAGATCACTTCCTCCATTAAACACTTTAAGCCTTCCTAGTTGAATTCCACTTTTACTAGTGCCAAATACTTTACCTGTAGATGAAAAGGTTATATTACCATTTTCTTTGAGAAACTTATCCACTGCCCTGGCAACAACCCATACTGAATCATAAGCATAGAGTCCATAAACATTCAACACAGAATTGGCCAAACCTTTTGGCTGCATTTTGCTCAAACGATTCAACAAATCCTTCTTTCCTTTAGACTCTTGAGTATGAGGGCGTAGCCCCACTACTCCATTAAGTATATCAAGTGAAGCAAGATCTGTTGGTGAAAAAGAATCTAGAGTTGTGGCAAGCCAATCAGTTGCAAACCAAACGTAGTTGCTGGAAAGCATTCCAAGTTTATGGGCAATGGTGAAGATTCTTAATTGAGGATCGGGGCCGACGTGAACGACATAAACACGAGGACCGAGCAATTTAGATTGGTTAAGTATCTCCGTGATCTTAGCAAGATTAGCCAGAGAAGGCAAGCCAAATCCATGAGAAATACGACACATTTTCTTCTGAAGTTCATCACCCAAAGAAGATATCCCATTTCTCCCATAATCATCATCCAAAAATATAACAATGACTTCTTTCCACCCATAGTAATCAATCAAGTCAGCCATGGCAGCCATTTGGTAAGAGTCACTTAAAGTGGTTCGGAGGAAGAAAGGGAGTTGGAGAGTCGATAATGTTGGATCAGTGGCTCCATATGATACTTGAGGAATTTGTAGACCATTAACAAGCTCAGAAATCACATGAGCCACCACCGAGGATTGTGGGCCAATGATTGCAACAATCTCTTTCTCAAGTACATGCAAAGCTACCACCCATGAAGAGAATCATGAAATCAAGATTAAGCAGAAATTTATCTAAATTTCTTAAAAGATTAAAAGAAAAAATACAAAAAATTGAGGTATAACTAAAATTTCCTTGTCTTAAGTTATCAAACGCCCAAAGAAAAAGATGGTGTGAGATCCCATTTGGAGAGAGGAATAAAGCATTATTTAGTTTTAAAATCTTAAGGGAAAGCTCGGAAAGGAAAAACCCAAAGATGACAATATCTGTCAGCAGTGGGCTTGGACTGTTACAAGTATGAAAGCCAGACACCGGGTGGACACCAAGCGGTGTGCCAGTGAGGACATTGGGCACCGATGGGGGTGGATTGCAAGATCCTATATCGATTGGAGAGGGGAACAAAACGTTCTTTATAAGGGTGTGAAAACCTCTTCATAGCAGAAGTCTGAATATTATACTATAGTTAGAGTCAACGGTGCCCCAAAAAAATCAGGGCTGGTAATCACAATGTAATCTTAGTTTAGTTCTTAGATAGAGCAGAACTATGCTCCAACTCAAACAATAGCTTCTGAACTTGGAATGAACAATACCAGGGGAGAGTGAGCAAAATTTTATACTTTGCCCACTTCTTTATCTTGACTCCACTCTGAATGAGAATACTGATTACAGAAACAAAAAAAAATTGTGAAAAATCATGCTTTAGGATCAAAGTTCCACCTCAATTAGACATGGAGAAGAACAGCATCTCCGTTGACCTTATAGATGAAACCAAAGACAAAGAGAGCTAGACATAGGTGAAGGAAAAACAGGAGCCGCCACAAGGCAGCTCAGCTAGACAACTGAAACAAAAAAGAAAGAGAGAGATTGTACCCCCAACAGAGCCCAAGAAGTCGCTGCAGTTAGAGTCCTCCATCAGGAGCTTCACCTTTGTCCCACTCAAGATGTTGGAGTCAGCATTTATGTCGGCGATTGCTGCTTGCATCCCCGGCTTTGCTGCTCTACCAATAACCGAATTGAAAGTAAAAACCGCACCAATATTTACCACAGCTGCCTTTTGGCACCAGATCGAACCACTAAGAAACAGCCATATCAAAGTATGCAGCAGCGGTAGAGCAGCAAATATTCCCATAATCTGAAAACAAACGAACCACCCAAGCTCTTAATTTGGTTAATACAGTCAGGAAATGAATGTTCTGAATCACAGTAAGAATTAGCACTATAAGTACCTCAGCTCTGTTCAAATCTTAGGGGGCCGCCCACTTCCGGGTTGGGGATAATGAGTATGGAACTCAAGAACAATCCATAGTTAAAGAAACGAGACCATTCAAGGCTGCCCATGTCACAGAGTATGCGCAACTTGCACGACATGAAGAAAGAAAAGACAAAAGAAAAGGAAAAAAGAATGGCCAACAAAAAGCGAAGGTACCACGTGATAAATAAGAACATACATTTTGATCTTCACAACTTTGGTGGGAAGGGCGTTCGAGTCAATTTGAGGGAAGAAATTTCAGTAATTCAAGGATAATTTTCTATTTATGTTCAAAATGAAAACTTCATTTAAGGAAAAATCGAACTAAAAGCAGCATATCATTTCATTTCATTGCATTGCATTAAGAAAAGTGTGTAATTACTAGAACACCCTCACATAACATCTTTATTGGAACAAACTTGGGGATTTTTTTTTTTTTTTTTTTTTTTTTTTTTTTTTTTTTTTTTTTTT